TTGTATTATGCATTTTTGCTTAAGTTCAGAATATTTCATAGAAATGAGATGCTCATTCGTAATCAATCATTGGAGTTTGCAACGAATAATTTATTGATGAGCCCATTTAGGGTGGATACTTTGAGGGATCAGATGGTGGTGCGGGTGATGATCGTTCAACAGAATACAACATGTGAAGGACTGAATGTACCTTTGGTTTCGAGATATGTTAAGGTTGAGGATTTGTTGGAAGATATTAATGATTATCAATATAGTAGGGTGAAACCATCATTTAATAAGGTATACGATCAGGAATATGTAATCGATTGTAATTCCTTGTGTTTCAATACAGAGCATATGATGTGTGTGATATTAGATATCAATAAAGATTGGTGTGTGATGAATGTGGGAATGAAAGATGATCAATATGTGAGATTTCAGACTGGATTTTATTGGCGCATAGTATTAGTGAGTTATATGGAATTATAAAATATCACAGCACGAGTGACGAGGATAGAAGACATATGTTTGCACCTATTCGAGATTTCAACAATGTTGATAATCTGACGATTGGTAATCCAGAATATGTAACTCAGATGATAGAAGGATATTCATTTCATCCCAATTTCACAAATTGTAATTACGATGCGAATAAGGAGATGGAAGAGATGAAAAATATGTTGATATCGATTACAAAGAAGATTGGAAAAAAACATGCATTAAGTGAAGAACGTGAAGAAGTTAACTATGATGATGATGATAATGAAGTGTACGTACCACCAAAAAAGAAAAATCGACCTAATGTCACACCAACGACTTTGGATATTCCAACTCTGATGGGAAATGAAGTGTAAGGATTGAACATTGTTATTATTTTATTATAATAAAATTATTAATTTTTTATTCAATAGATAGAATGCCTTCGGATGTGATCACTGAGACTGTGACTGAGATGGTTGTGAGAGAACCAAATTTTGATATGAGGGTAATTGTGGGTAATAATAGACATTGATCTATTATTTCTCAGATGAAGCAGAAACAAGAAAAAGGATCTGGTGATAAGGAAGATAAAAAGAAGAATGATGATGAGAAGGATGATACATCTTTCAAATTTTGGGGTTTTAATAAATAAAAATATATAAATGCTTGTATAAATTATCTTGGTGAAATAAAGTTGAGGGATAAAAATTTATATTATCATATTTTTTATTTTATTTTTGTCAAATTTGATCATTGTTGATTCAAGATTGAAATATAAGAGACGCGAAGGATATCGATAACGAAAAATTGGATTTTGTCAATGTCAGAGTTGTGATTACCCAAGATGAAGATATGTTTCATTCTGATGTTGTAGTTGTTAGAGTTTACATTGTTGGTGTTTGGTCAGGGTGGTGATGGGGACCTCGTATAGTGATTTATCTTCTGGGTTTGTATACGAAAACTAAGAAGAGGAGATACATGAGAATATTGAATAGGAGACATGGATTGATGAGTAAGTACGATAGTGGAATATATTTGTAGAGAGGAAATTTGATTCGACCTGTTCACAAACCCATGCAATAGGGTTATTTGAGAAGCAATTTTAATCAACGTCCGTCCTTACCTATGACACTACCAGATGGACAGATAGGATGATTGTTAACCATCATACGTGATAACAGGTTTGTTCCAATATTGAGAAAATGAGGAGAGATCATGAGTCGATATGAGGGAGGGATATATTTGAAATTGTTAACACGAAATCATTATGAGAATGTTCATAAGAAGGAGAGGAGAAGATAGGTAAATAGGAGACATCATAAAAAGAAGAATCAACGTGGTCGAAAGAGGAAGAAAAGAAGAAATTAGTATAAATAAGTGTGATGTATTTTAAAAAAATAAATAAAGATGAGATTGATTTTTATTATTACGATTGTATTATTGTGTTAGAATTGTATGAGTGAAGTGAATCCTCCTATTGATTCTCGAGGTCGAGGTCGTGGGAGAAGAAAAGGAAATGTTAATGATTTGTTGTGACCGACAAGATATAATCCAATACAAAGTTCGGTCACACCTCGAGATCGAAGAGAATATGAATAGTTATTGTAGAGACAATCTGATTTAACAAGTCAGATTCCAATATCTCCACGATTGACTTCAATGCGAGATAATTATATGATCGGTAGAAGTCGATAGGAGAATGAGGACAGTCATATGGCAGATGTTATTGAGGATGAAAATGTATGGGTTTACTGATGAGAGAACGTTCGCCTATTAGATATCTTTCACCTATTGAATCAAGAGGATCTTCAAAATAGAGATCTCAAACACCATTGCGAAGATCTCGATCTTCATCTTTGTATGATCTTTCGTGGAATATGGAGAATAAGGCATCTATATCAAGACCACTACCACAAAATTCCATAGACCCGAGACACTTACAATCCAATTCACTATTTAGAAATAATTGAGGTGATGCATCTATTTTAGTTCCACCGCCATTTAATCCTGTGGATCCTGCGTATAATTTATTGATAACAGATCAATATATGCCATTGTTATCTACGAGAAGACCATTTTTAAATTTGTACACAAAAAATCGATGGGGAGAATACGTGCCAATATTGAAGAAGAATGGAGATATTACATGATATTATAGTGGTGGAATTTACATGCATAAAAAAGATGAGATTGTGATGGTACATAAGGGGATGGACCCTAGACATGTGATCATGAATGGAGATAAGGCATCCAGGTTACCACCGGTCCCAAGGGATCGAAGGTTGAGGCAGCTTTTGATGATAACACGAGATAACAGGTATGTTCCCATATTGATCGAAAAGAAGTATTTGATAATGTGGTATCGTGGAGGGATATATGTTGGTGATGGAAATCGATTTGAATCAATACATAAACGTATAGAAAAGGGATGGGTCAAGAGACGACGTCCAGCAAGATTTTGATATAAATAAGGTGCATGTGTGAAGTTTGTTTTTTTTAAAAAAAAGATGAAGGGAATAATTTTGATTATCTTGATAATTTCGGTTTTAAATTTTGTGGTGTGTGAACCGTTTGCAGAATGTGTGCAAGATCATCAAAAGGAGTATGCTTACATTGATAAATACGATTTGGATTCATTGACGTCTTTGATGGATCAAATTTACAATTGTACGAACATTGTCAAACAATATTATGACGATAATACCATCGATAAAGTGATACAAGATAATGTTGTTGAGTACGAAGATTATTATTATATCATGCAAATGATTTTGAAAAAATATGTGAAATGTCATCAAGAGTTAAAATGGAAGATGAATGAAGGACGGGAGGATTTGTGAACAATAGTTTGAATTTGTTTTTATTGATTTCTAAATTTGACAATTCTTTGTGTGAATGTGTATCATCGTGATTGTGATTGAATTATTATAAATAAAGTTTTATTTTTCATTTTCGATTTTTAATCAAAGTCAAAATGTATTGTCAACAAATTAAAAAAAAATGCAAGAAATATTATGAAAATTGTGCAAAGGATAGAAGATCAAGATAATGTTATTGATGATCTTAGGAGTGATGTTGATGATACAAGAAGGAGGGTTGGTTTGATAGAAAGATCATTGAATGATGTTAGAGAGAGAGTTGAAAATCATGATAAGAGAATCAGAGCGATTGAAAAGACTGGAGAACTTTCGATAAAGGGAATCGATTGCCTTAGGGATAAGATTGATAATATTAAAACTACACCATATTCACCTCCTCAATTGGAATATCCGTATCCACCTCCTCAAATGGGGTATCCATATCTGTATCCATTTTCACAATTTAATTATCCTCCCCAGCTCGGGATGAGTTATCCGTATCTACTTCAGATAAATTATCCTCTTCCACCACCATATCCTAGTGTCAACAAACCTCTGGTAATAATGCTGCTGCAAGAGGAACCGGCAAACCCAGGTATTGATGGCCCAAGATAAAATTATGTATTTTTTTAAATATTTTGAATAAAGTTATGTGAAAATATGATTCAGATAAATTTGAGATTTACATTTATACTGTGTGACGATCTGATAAATTTTTGTTGATATTGGTTGTACATCCAATCGGATTGAATGTCGATCAATTTTCAGGGATAAGATCATCCCCACCAGGGTGACAGAGGATCTTCACTCTTTCTTCTAATTCACTGATTCTCTATAGCACAGTTGAATTTTTACTTGTGTGCAAAAATTTCTTTTATTTTCTTTGCAACTTTTTTTCATTGTCAAATTTCTTTTGCAAAGAGAATTTTTTGTGATTTGTTTTTTAATGTGTGTGTGAGGTGAAGGTCGGAATAGTTCAAAAGATATGTAAATATGTTTTATTTTTCTTGTCAAGAATCTGCGAACGGATGCAAAATATTTGAGCAAAGATTTGGTCACAAGAGATGTTGGGAAGATACTTAGCTTTACTGACGTTTGAGAATGTCTAGTGGCAGAAGCTCTTGGAAACAAGAGAATGCTCAGCTCACTGGTTCTCGAAGATGTCAAGTGGTGGAGGTTCTTGATATTGATTGCTATCAAAATTTTATTCAAATGTTTTTGCGTTTGTCTTGTGAAATATTGATTGAACGGAAAAACTAATGTTTATAGAATTTTTTTGAAATTTTATTAGAAAGAGAAGTAAGAAGAGAGATTTCGGTCATTCGTTCAAGCAAAGGGTTGACGAGAGGCATAAATTTTCATTTGCAATGATTGTTTTCATTTGTCATGAATGTATTAACTATCAGACTTCAGAATTAATAAATCGTGAGTCTGCCCCTCCATGGGATGATCACGTCTCTTACCTTTTATACATCGTGACCGAAAGCGAGTGTAAAGGTGATTACCGATCTATGATTAGAAGAGAATTTTTAACTGGTCCTTTGGGATGTCTAGTTAAATTCTCTGATATGGGTCTATGGTTAATCCTAGTTTAAAGGGAATGTCGTAAAATGGTCAGATTGGTTTTTAAACATCTCCGATCCTGGATCTCCCTTTGAACCCCATTTAGCAAAGTCACTACAGGATAACAATCATGAGTTTCATAATTCCCAGTTGGTATGCGAAGGTTGTTCATTTGGAATCAGATTGGGCATTCGAGATAGGATACTTTCAACCAGGTGAAAGTAGAGGACTGTTGTACTGCAATATGAGACCCAGTCCCATCTAAGACACTTTCGTTTGACACTGCCATATGATACTGGCCACTTGGTTTTTTATTATGAGATGTATTTGCAAGTTAGCTGGGCTCGTGAATTAACAAATCAGCATTTCCTCATTGGCCGATGCTTACCTTTCATCTGTGTGAATGTCTTATCAATGTTATAAGATAAGATGTCATAGTCGAGAGTTCGTTTGCGAGACATTAGGCTGAGATGGTTCAGAATGGAAAGCACTTCTCTTTTTTTCTGAGAAATTTGCATTCGCCTCATCCAAACGAACAAAAATTTTTAGAGAAAACTTGTCATCAGTTGACAGGGTATAAGTCTGACGTGCAGTAATTCCTTGGTGTCTCTCTAGCAAGTAAATAAATGGATAAGACTTTTTATCTAGTTTTCGTGAAAATTAGATCTTGAATTTTGTCAGTTTTTAAGAAAATTGACTTGTTCGCGAGAGTTTTTAATTTGGATTGTGAGTAACATAATCTTTAAAATTCGACAAGTTTTCATCTTCTCTTTTTGTGAAATAAGAGAGGAATTTTTGATCAAACTGGCAATTTAATTGAATCATATTTTTTATGAAAAACGATTTTTATTTTATCTATTTTGATTTCTTTTCAAATGAGAGTGATCTGTGATTGTGATCATTTGACCATTTGAGAATTGGGAGAGAAGTCACAGATTTGTTATATCTGATGTTTTTGAATAGTTTTCTTCGATTATTTGATTAGTTGAAAATTTTTATTATGAATCCTTGACAAATCACTTTCATGGGTATCCTGAACATTGACCTCCACGTGGTGATACCTGGGTGACACTGACAAATGCTCTTTCCTCCTTACTTCCCTGATTCTTGAATTTATTAATTAGGTAAACTTGATGTTAAATATTATGACATGATTTATGAATTATTTATGATGTTATTATTAATTAAAAATTTCATTATTATCAAGAAATGATTGGAGTTTATTTAATCCCTTATAAAAGTTTAATGAATGAGATACGTGCTGATATCATGGTTAGTAAAAAAAATTTGTGTTAAATACGATGGATTTTGTTAATAGATGCAAAAAAATCTTGTTCTAAATTTAGAAAATGTGTATATACTCAAATTTTAGATTTTTTTTTTGTCAAAAATTTTGACTATATGCATTTATTATTTAGATGTCCGATGACAATAATTCTCAAATTCCGAATGTTTCGATATCGAATGTTTCGACTTTGAATTATTTGATCTCTGATGCTCCGACCTCAAATGTTTTGACTTCAAATGTTCCGACCTCAAATGTTTCAACTTTGAATATACTGACAACCGATATGATCAAAAGAATGCTGATCGAAGAAATCGAAAATAAAATTACATGTTTGCAATCTGAAGGATTTCGCTTATCTCGTCATATAAGGTTCCTTCAAGAAGAACAAAGGAAATGTAGACGTGAACAGATTCGTACTCAATTAAATGCATGTTTAGATAGGTTGGATAAAATATAATTTTATTTGATGTTTATAAATTTTGAAAAAAATAATAAATACGTGATAAATTTTAAAAATAAATTTAATGATGACTGTTCCAGCTTTAATTTTTATTCGCGATTTATTGTTTGATGAAGAAAGATGTATTGATTTTTTGAAAGAGAAAAAGATATTACATGAGATCAAGAAGTGTCCAATTTGTGATTCATGTGTTTATCAAGAGTATTGATCATATCGATATTCGAATAGAGGATATCGAAAATATGTATCAATATTTTAAGATTCATTCTTCTTTAATAGAAATATTCGATGTTCAGAGTTGATGTTTGTGGGATACCTGTAGTTATGCAAGAATAAGTATACGAATATAAAGATGATTATGGTTCACTCGTCTAAAACAATCATAAAATATATTGAATTATTTAGAATGTTAATTATAAAATCATTGAAAAGAAGTGATACGAAGATAGAAGGCTTAGATGTGATTGTTGAAATCGATGAATCCAAATTTAAGAAGAATAAAGATTTCTGGGTAATAGGAGGGGTCGAGAGGATGACACAGAAGAAATGTTTTTTCGAGGTGGTTAGGAATAGAGATGTGAGAACGATGAGAAGGGTGATAAAGAAGTACGTGAAACCAGGATCGATTGTTTACACAGATTATTGGAGAGGATATGGATGTGTGACGACGATGACGCAGTATCGACACAAGAGGGTGAATCATTCTCAGAGACATGTATCACGTGATACAGATGTTCACACGAATAATATTGAGGGATTGTGGAACGGTGTCAAGATCAATCTATCGAGTCATGAATGTGATGAAGATGAGATCGAGAAACATCTGATGGAGTTCATATGGAGAAGAAAACATCGTGATGATTTGTGAAACAGATTTTTGAATGCTTTGAAGAAATATAAAGTATAAATAGGTGCAAGAGAATAGATTTCATCAGAAAGTCCTCTCTTATTTCACGAAAAGAGAAGATGAAAACTCGTCGAATTTTAAAGATTATGTCACTCGCGATCCAAATTCAAAACTCTCGTGAACGAGTCAATTTTCTTAAAAACTGACAAAATTCAAGATCCAATTTTCTCGAAAACTGGATAAAAAATCTCATCCATTTATTTACTTGCCAGAGAGACACCAAAAAATTATTGCATGTCGGACTTATACCCTGTCAAACGATGGCAAGTTTTCTCTAAATTTTTTTGTTCGTTTGGATGAGGTGAATGAAAATTTCTCAGAGAAAAAGAGAAAAACTTTCCATTCTGAATCTCCTCAGCCTAATGTCTTGCGAACAAACTCTCAACTATGCCATCTTATTTTACAACATCGACGAGACACCCGCACAGATGAAAGACAAGCATCGGCCAATAAGGAAAGTGTTGATTCATTAATTCACGAGCCCAGCTAACTCGCAAATATCTTTTAAACAAAAATAACCAGGTGGCCAGTATCATGTGGGACATCTCAAGTGAAAATGTTCAAACACCCCCAACGGGTGATCATAATCAAGCCTCACATCGAATCGAGGACATTTTCACAAACTCGGGATAAGCGCATCTCACGGTGTTTTCCCCCCAAGTGACTCCCTTACAGGATCAAAAAAGTTTGCCTGAGTCGGAACACGAATGTCAACCAACTTTCAAAGCAACAACTCTCTCGATTAGGACCAAAGTCCATGGACCTGTACTTCACAGATTGTTGATTTGATATGATACCAGAGACCTTTTAAATTACGTCTCCCCGACCATTCGAGGTTAACGATATCACATCAATATAGAAGCATGTCTCATATGTTTCAGAGAAACGAGATTACGACTTTACCATTTCTGAAGTCTGACAATTAATATATTCATGACAAATAAAAAACAATCATTGCAAATGGAAATTTATGCCTCTCGTCAACCCTTCGCTCGAACGAATGACCGAAAT